TGATTCGTTTTCCCGTCAAAACATTATGTAACAATAATTGTTGACAATTAAAATATTTTATTAGACAAAAAAAAATATAATATTTTTCAAGGAAATATTTTATTTAAATACACGATTGCCGCCATGTGGCCAAATGCGTTTAATATTTAAAGTATGCAAAGATAGGCGGCGTACTTAATTAACCGAAGTTTAAATTTAATTTGAATTGGTAATTGGATAAGTTAAAAACAACAGAGATCGTACACTGCGTTCTATAGAAATATATGTAAACGCCATACAAAAATATACAAATACACAACCTAACCCAACCTAACCTACAATGTCATCCGCATATACTTACAAGTACTACTAGTTATGATTTTTTTAGCCAACGATTGAAAAACGCACAATTAATTCATAGATATAAAAATAAAACTGGGTATTCATATTATCATATCCAATTACTACTTGCAATATTATGAATTATCGCCAATCCGGTTTTGCCCAATAATAATATTATTATATAGTAATAATGAAAACCATCAGTTTTGTTTTGGTTTTTTTTTTTTTGCTGTAAAAACGTTATTGCGCTATGAATGGAAAATTAACAAACGCAAAAAGGCTAATAGTAATAGTGATAATGTGTACTATATAAAATAACTATTTAGCCGTCAGCGGTTATTATAATAATAACTATTGTTCCACCTCAACACAACGTCATGTGTTCAAACGTTTTCACTTTTATACAGGGCGTTAAAAAACAAAACACTCCATTTATTGGTTAGGTTTATCGTTTATGAGCTCTTGCTATTCGTGTACGTTTAATAGTTTATTATTTTGTATGAATTTATTCGTTTATAAGAAAGAATCCGGTTAACTATGAAACGGAAGTCTTTTTGGCAAAATTTAAAACAAATATTTTCCCCTTGTAGTTTCTATATAGTTGAAATAAAATCAGTAAATTTTATGTATTTTGAAGGCTCAGCTAAAAAAGTAGTACCCGAGTTTGTTAAACTGTTTGCTTTCAAAACCCAACGTCGGCTTGTAAAAGAAAACGTTATCCATTTACTGATAAAAAAAACCCATCGGTACTCAGGATTTTATAAAGAGCGCACAATACAAAGGCAATATTTGAAGAAAAAAGTCAAGAGTTCATCAAAATCCGGTGTTTTTTATAAGTCAGGTTTTTTGGTTAGAACACAACTATACCCTATTTTTATATAATTATTAATATTGCCTACATTATAACTGTTTGCAATTTTAATGTTAAAGAACGCATTGTTTTCTGTACGAACAAACGAAAAATTGGTTTCCAGAAAAACCAAAAACAAATCAGCATTTTACCAACTAAAAGAGTCATCTTCTAAATATGCGAGTAATAGTAAGACTTGCTGTTTTTGAGAATTTATCTTATCTAGTCGTCGTTATAATTATACAGCAAAACAAATTGGTATCCAGCAGGAAGGAAGGCAAGCTTGTTGTTTTGTTAAGTTTTGCACTTTTAACCGGAACCGCCCTGTATGCAATATTGAAAATGATATATTTAAGATAATATTTGCATAAACAGCAACAGATGTGTTTTTTTGGAACCGACCCATTTTTCGGTCGATGACACAACAACAAGGCGATGATTTGGTCCGATCGGCGACGTTAAGTTTAGTTGTCGTTTTTCAAAATTTTGTTTTATGTTTAAACGAGACGATGCTGTGCATTAACAGCGATAAAAGCCAACATCATATCGGCATTTTCTGTTGGCGTTTGACACAACCCCCCCCCCCCAGACGGAAAGATAATAAATTCCTCTACGGGTCGAAGGGGGTGGAAGAGGGTGCGGAAAATCCTATGGTCGTAATCCTTCCCTTCCCATCACTCGGTCTTCGGTCGATGATAAGGAACAATCCGGATATTATTGTTATTAAACCAACCGCACTACTCGCATTACTGTTATGATCATCGACGCTTGTTGCTCTCAATCCACGCTGTCGTTTGCAGTCAAAATAATAAAAATGATAACGATTGTGTAATAGCAATAACGGCGGTGTCAATTGACTACGCTCAGAATATTGCCATAATGAACAGCTGTCATGTGATCAGAAATTTATTTTAGACGGAATTAAGATGGAATAATAAATGTTTTTGAGTTAATCAGAATGCATTTTTTTAGAGGTGCCAATGTCGAAAAATAATTCATTCCTATAAACATTGAGACATTTATTTACTTTGCGCCACCCTAATATATATATATATAAATATGATGACTCATAATGAATTTTGTTTTTAGTGGAACGCTTACATTATTCTTTGTGGAAGACGGTTTTTGTCGGAGGAAACAAACCGGAAACACTAGTCGAGCACTAATTAATACTACTGTAATCAATTATTAGTGTACTATAATATTATTGCTAGTTTGGTCGTCCAAACGGGGATTGATGATTTACAATATAATATAATTGTGCGGGCCAACCGCCCTTTGCCAGTCCGTTAAAACGTTCAAGCGGTTCGAGGATTATAAATTATGTACATATACATTGTTTAATATATTATTATTATTTCAAAAAGGTTTGTTTTTTGTACTTTTATAAAAACGGCGGTATATAGTAATATATATTTTTATTACCATCCCGGGCTCGTAAATACACATTGTGTTATTATCATCAAACAACTTAAAATGTCGATGGACTGGCCGGGCCAAGCAATCAAGACGTTATACCTGTTCTCAAGTCGTAAAACGGTCGGTGCCGTAGCAGTACTTAACAAATATCACAATGCCGCCACAAAGCTACAGAGGATGTGGACGACGGTGTAGGCCAAAAATCAGACAAATACTTGGCAAAAAAAAAAAAAAAATCGGTAATAATATTAATTGAGATAACGAAGGCGTTTTGATGTGATAATAATATTAAGAACGACCGTGACTAGTCGCATTTTGAAAACCCGGCGCTAGTTGTTGCGGATAATAAAAACGTTTTATCGCCTCTGCGATATAAAATATATTAATTGATTGATCCTGCGCCGCGTTTGTTATATTGGTTTTTATTTTTTATTGTTAATGGAAAATTTAGAATGAAAAAAAATTAACACCTTTTTTTTTTTTTTATCTCTAAGGTCGAGCCTAACACGACCGAGGTCGTCGGAAACGCGCCGTGACTTAAATCCGTTCGGCGGATCCGACAATAACGTTTTGTTCCGGCCGAAGGATGTTATTATTATATTTTTATTGGAAATAATCGACCTAGGACCTGGCGATGATGGTGCGTCGATTACGGTGGAACGAGCAAAACGGCTTGATAATAAAAAGCAACGATTGCCAAGGTGATTCGGCCGAGGACGTTTTTTTTTTTGTTTGTTGTTTTTTTCGGTAAAGAGAGACAAAAAAAAAAAAGAAATACAACCAACAAGACACGGAAAACATCACCGAAAGTCGAGGAAAATCTTTGCGTTACAATTTCTCCAAAAAACACAGCGTTGACTTACTTTTAAGATTTTGTTTTCACATAGTTCAATACAAAGTACAGCTGTCAAGACGACCCCCCGAGTAAGCCGGGCTATTTTGGCCGGAGGTTATTAAACTTGCAAACGGTTAAACTTACGGTTGAAAAAAGATTTTCATTTTTTGATTGCATTGAAATGAACGAAAATGCCAAATGTTTTACACCGCTATTGGACCATGTACCAACATATTGGTTAGGCAAATCCAAAAAACAAAAAACTTGATAATAGTATTATAATAATATGTTGTTTAAATAATGGTTTTTATCGATACTTAATACACACAACGGATTGGTGTCGATCGGTGCGCGGTTCAATCACTTTTTTCAGTTGGGCATAATCATTCCTACATTTGACCTCTTCCCGACTGTGCTGGCTTATTTTAAGACTTGCAATTAATACAAAGATGGTCGCTAATTACTTGACCGATAAAGAGAGAGAAAGAGACTTTGACGGTAGCTTAATCTAATAATAGAAATAAATTATCTCATTTTCGATATTATTGTTAACTTGTACATAATAGTATTATAATTTATACATAGTTTGTATACCTCACATGTGGGACGCGATGCCTTTATTTCTTAATCAATGGCGCAACCGGAAAGGGTCGAAGCCCGAGGGGTTATAATCTCTTCCGAAATCGACTTTATAGTGAACAAAACGGGTCTATACTAAACAAAAAAAGGGGTACTACCAGTTAGTGTCGTCGAACAAATTTTTTTCAACCTTTGTGCACGCACGCAATTAATTAAATAAACATCCACTGCCTTCGGAGAACCCCTTATTAACACGGACCACATGTTGTTGTCAAGTAATACATGTTTAATTGCGTCTGACTCGCCCATTCAATTAACATTCTAGACACCTAGCACAATTTTAAGGTCTGAGGAAAAGAGGACAAGTCACAAGATACCTACGCCTATTTCAAATGTTACCTAATATAGGGGTTTACACGTCAATCAGTCATCTATTTAAATAAGGCAAACAAAATATGAGTTTATCCCTGTCTGTACTAATTGATAAGGAATATACAATTCAAAACAAAATAAATCGTTTTACTACAACTTAATAATTGTAAATTCTAACGAGACAAATTTAAATGCATTTTTCTAATATTTTGCTTGTGTTTCATTTCTTTGTGTAATACATTACATAATATAATTTGAAGTATTCAATTTAACTCAAAAGAGTTTGAATTCTGTTTTATTTTCATGCTCCAGAAAAAACTGCCTATCGGCTAAAAATAATAAAAATTCCTTATCAATTTACGGTTGGGGTATCAATAAATATAAATTACATACAACATTACTCAAGATTTTCTTTAATGCATCAACAAGCGGTTGTCGGTTTAAAAGGATATTTGTTTTTTTTAACTTTCACGACGGAAACTTTTCATAATAATTGTGATAAGGAAAAACGTTCAACTTGAAAAAAGGGCCAAAAGAAGTCAACCGTAAATGGTAAGTTAGACATTTTTAAATTCTAAACCACCGGACAACAGCTACAGAGTGAGTGTAGTAGACGGTATATACCTTTGCGTTTGATTTTGGTCAAGTCCAACACTGTGGTCGTGGTGCCGTTCTGTCTGGTCCGGCCGGCCGTGGTCAAGTTCAACGGTTGATCGTCCGCCGCCGCCACCGCCGCTTTGGTCCAACCCAAGATGTCGGCTATCTTGTGGGCCGTCGGCGTCCTCGGGGGGTGTCCGTACACGTGGGGATGCCACGTGCCGCCACCGTAGCCAGCCGCCGGTTCCGGGGACGGCGTTATCAAGCCGCCTCCGCGGACGCCACTGACGCCGCCGCCGCCGCCGCCGGTCGACGGCTTCCCGTTGCAGTCCATCATTTGCATTGTCAACATAATTTCACATGGTCGAGGGCAACGTGCAACGAGAACCGCACGGTTCGAGCATGGCGTGACGCGACATGGTCGTCGGAGTCGGCACGATTATTGTTATCACTGTATAATTATTATTACAATTCGATGACAAGATAAAAATAAAAACAAAAACAAAAAAAAAAAACGCACGAGAAACACGGTAATAACAATAAGCGAAAGCGCCGAACACTCGCACACACACAAACACACGCGACACTCGTACACCCGCGCGTTCGAAAAAAAAAACACAAGTTTTTATACAATTTTTTTTTTTTTGATCTAAAAAAACTTTTCTTTTATCAAAACGGCACACACCTCGCGGCGTCCGACAAAACAACAACGATAACGACGGCGGCCGCGACAACGATGGCGTGCACGCGCGGTGTGCGTCGGGTAAGTGCCGGCGATGACTGTTAACGTGACTGTAATGCGAGTTTAACAGCTACTGAACGGGTGCGCGGGGCGTGCGCCGCCCGTCCGCCGCCGTCAACGGTGGGTACGGCGGCCATCCCCACCGCCGGCCGGCGTCTGCTGGTCCACTAGCCGCCGCCGCCGCCGCCGTCCGTCCAAAGTTAAACGATCCACTTTATTATTATTATTGTTATTTTTTTCCTTTAAAATTACTTACTTTTCGACAAGTCAATATGAAATTATTTTACCGTTGGGTAGTAGTTTTTTTTTTGTTTTCCTTCATTTGAAATATTCCTACTATCTATACAAGTATAGTTGTTTACGAAATCGATATCTACCATATTATTATGTTTGAAAATATTATGTATTTGTTTTACATTTATACTTTTGTACGTGCTTATTTTTCCCAAATCTATGGAAAAACAATTGGGCATTGAAGGGCTATGAAAATGTTGGTTGTCAACCGTAGACCGGATACACGTGTTTTTTTAAAGCAGCATATAAATTGAAAAAAACATTTTAGTAAACTACGGAGCGATGAGTGAAATAGAAATGCAAACACATCTACTCAGAAAGTAATTGTGAAAGAAGTGATTACCCAACGAGAGGGCGTACAAATTGAAGATAATTTCCAAGCTCATATGGATTGAGTTTATGTTAGTGTAATTCGGAAAAAAAGACTTACACAAGGTTTATGTTGTCACCTATTAAAAAAAAATAACGAAAACAAATTAAACATCAAAATAAAACGCTACATCTAAAAAAAAAGAAATCTCAAAATTTTAACATACCTAAAAATAAAAACAAATTTTTCCAACTGACACACAGTGTTCAGTTAAAAATAACTTACTGTGTTTATAATTAAACAAATTGGCGGAAGTACTTAATTTTTCAAGGAAACCCAAATAGAGGCATCGCAAAAAAGCTTTACGACGCTTTAATCGCCATTAATAATATACTACAATGGATTATATTATATATTTTTCTATATTATGTACCAAACTAATTTTTCCGACAATATATAACATTTTGGAAATAAAAAAAGAGTAAAGTGCGGTATAACTGCAATTAAAATAGGACATATTGTAAAAAAAACATCCCCTTCGCCCTAAAATATATATTTTCAAATTGCTCCTTTTGCGTTTAACGTTTAGCACGGATACGAATAACCATTATAATATTATTGTTGTTACTATTATTATTAGATACTATGGCCACTGTTGGTATAATTAAACGGGTATATATTATACACTTTGGTCATGTCGACTGCGTAATGGCCAAGTGAATTATTATTACACGATACTCGGTGGTGTTTGTGTTACACATTGGCCCCGGACGGTAATTACCGTTTTATTACCGATAATAATTAATTAAATCGAAACAATATAATATATTAAAAGTATATATATATACACACACACACACAGCCTGTGGGTATATGCTGAGTGCACGCGTTTGCCGTAAAATTGGCAGGTCGCCATAAGTCAATTACACAAAAAGCCGGTGGTATTTTGTGCCCGGTGTTTGTGTTTATATACACAACGCACACTATTATATTTTATTGTATACATTTACTGCTGCACGGAGACAGCAGCAGCAGCAGCAGCATCATCATCATCATCCTCCTTCGAGGCGGTTAATTAATTACACCATTTGTCTACTGGCATCGTTAAGGGCCGTCGTCGGTCTGCGCTATTAATGCGGCAAGTAGTCGGCAATATTGTTTTAAGAAAGCGGCGACGACCACGACGACGACGACGACTAGCTCGCTGCTGTGTTTGTATAATATTATATCGTGCCCAACTCTATCCGTTTGCCGGCCGTAAACACTATATAAACACACACGGAAGAGCAAATAAAATACATATCATAGCCAACAGTTTATCGGTTAGATTAAAAAAAAAAACCGTTTATGATGATAACACGAGGTTTCGGTAAATCAGGTTGACAGTGGATAAATCATATACGTTTTGTCCAGAAGACACGGTACGGTTTAAGATAAATGCAATTACACGGATTATGACCAGAGTCCTATATTTTCAGGGGAAAAGGGGCTATTTTATTTGTTTTTAAATAAAAATAAATTGAACTTAACCGGCGAACAGTCTGTTTTAGAATTCTTGTAGTGCAACAATACGAGTTTGAACAAAGTTTGATTACGAACAAAATGCGACCATCGCTTAATACGTTCAGTACTTGTGTAACGCTTAAAAGACACTAATATACATGCATATATATAGGGAGAGATAGAGAGAAAGAGAAAGAGAATCAACAGGCTATTTACAATAAATTATTGCCGAGCTTATTCCGTACCCGTGACGATACGAACCGTTTATTTTGGCCATAAAATTGTTTAACGACTAGTGTAAGGGCGTTTGAACGACTCACTGGGGTTCCCATAATAAATTTACATAATTCCAGTTTAAATTGAGTTCCGATTTGTTGCAGTACAACTACTATATTATGATTGTTATTGATAAAAATCTCATCAATCACACATTCAACTTTAATTTTCTTATGTAATAGATTCAATTGACGACAATAATACATTGTTCTTTCTCCTCAAAATGACTACTTGCAGCGCACACAATATTCGATCATCGACCAAGCAGAATTCGGTGCCTTTTCAAAGTGCAATTATCATTTTTGTAATACAAAACGATCGGCTTAGAATATAAACAAAAAAAGCTAAAATAAAAAATTCATTTATACAATGCAAACGGCAAAAGTTCTATCGAAAAAGTGTTTTGAAACTCAAAATCCGACATCGCTTACCTGACAAGTCTTACCAAGAAAAAAAAAAAAATATATATATATATATATATTCTGATCCTTATACGCGTTTGGAAGTTTCTCGACCAGTGGCTGATGACATGTTGATGTAAAGTTTTTATTTCGATCAAAAACGTTCCTTATAAAATATGTCATCCTTTATCAAACTCCAAACGACCGTTTCAACATGCTCATGTCGACTAGCTTCATCTTCAATTCACCTGTTATATTATTTTCTTTTCATCTCTTATCCGACCATATACTTTACTGTCATTCATATATTTTATTCTGTACAGCACACCGAAACATTTCTTTCTTATACACAACCGTTTTGTATTTATTAAATATTGTTGTTTAACTCAAACGTTTTGTGATCCGGTACAAAAATCTCAACTTTTTTAGAATTGCTAAGACGGTAACTGACATTATATTATTATTATAGGTATACAAAACCCAGTGGTTTACCAGCTTACAGCTTACATACCTCTAAGTACAACAGCAACCGGCGCGTGTCCTGAAAATGATTATTTTTCTACAAAAGTTGCATCACTATCTCGTCGAGCATTGTCAATAGGAGTTGTCAGTTTCATGAACTGCGTTGTAGGTTGAATTTCAAGTGTGGATTTAACACACACACACACCGCACGCTGATTCAATAATGTCAAGATATTTGTATAGTTGTACACGCACTACACAACGCCAATTAACCTAAGTAGAAAACATTATGTCGAAGACACGCAAATAATACTTGGTTCGCACGCGATTTCGAGTTGACATAATCATACAAGTTTAAGGTGCTCTCGACAAGTGCGGTTATTTTTAAATCGAGAAAAACAACCGTGTCTTGTCAATGTCGAGGCCAGTGTATTGTCGGATACACCAACTACTTACAACTTGCAATCGTTTGCAAACTTTACTGAAGTAATAACAAACATTTTAAAATATAAATCAGTCTAAATAGAAATGTATTACAGTTTGTTTTGGTCAGTAATGAGGGATTAAATGTATGGAGCTAATCGACGTGGTAAGCTTAATGAACGATTTCTGTAAAAACCAAGTGAGGCCAGGAATTGATGTGGCAAAGTAATTTTGGCCAGTTTTAACAATTTGTTTAAAAATAAAAGAATCAAACGTTTTATTACTACATAATGATATAATCCTATCTTTAGCGATTTTTTTTTTGACAAATAATAATCGTATAACTCAAAGTATTTTCTTTAAAAGGATTTTAAAAAAAAAAAAAACAGAAGACTGTACTGTTTTAAAATAGCAATAGCAAACGATAATTATCATCATTATGTATTAACGAAGATCTAATTTAATGTATAGGTTATATTTTAATTCGACCAATTACATTTTTATTGCAATAACAACCATTGCAATGAGTTTCACAGAAATTTAGACCAATAAAATATAATATAGCCGATAACGCACTTGAAGCGGACAGTGGAAAATGTGCCTTGACGCTTTGAGCAAATCCTAGTCTACATTTTTTTAACACAACAATACACAGATCTTACATAATTTTTTATCATGCAAATATCCTATACATTTATATCTACCGCTGGCAATAATTATTCCATTGACTCAAAGTATTTGTAACCAATTTACAACGAGGTTCTTTTTAACTTCTGTTATGAACGCACGTTGCTTATTTTTTGTTTTGTTTTTTATTATCGAGACCTTGAGGCAGCTATTAAAATGTATGGCAGCATGACCGACAAACGCTTTGATCAATTGTCGCCACTGATTTTCTCTCTCTCTCTCTCTCGCGCGCGCCATTTGACATAACATCCCAATTCCGGTGTAATTATAATGATAGCCATTATAATAATAATTGTTGTCTGAAAAACAAAGTGTAATTAAACGGTCGTCGATTTGTTTGTTTTTTAAGTCAACGTGTCCCGCCGCGTGCAGGGTGAAGTACGTCTCGAATAGATATTATATAGACAATCGTTTTAAGCCAACTATTATAACATCATTATTTCGTTACAATACACAGTTCGCAGCAATATTAATATGGTCGTGGGATTTTCCAAACAAACGCGATGCAACTCACGGTGCCGTTAACGTTATTGGAACGCATAGTTTATGCTGATAATTATTATCTGTGAACATGTGCATGCATATAAAATAGTTGTACACATATTAATGATAATTTTTGTCAAGTTTAATGTTTTTAATTGAAACTTAAACCAGCTTATTAGAAATCAAACTGGTTTACATGCATAGTTATTGGTCATAA